TCCGCTTCGTCCTCCCAAGTCCTCCCCTTCTCTCCCACTCTTCTCGGGTCGGGGATCCGCGGGGTCCCTTAACTGCCACGATCCCTTACATTTACCGTTGGTTGATTGTTTAGGTGGCCCGGTTGTTGCGCGCGCCGATTGCGACAACTTTGTTTCCGCGCTGGTTTTTCTTTGGACGCGCCTGATCATCGCGAAGGAAAGTTGCGTCATCGCCACTCTTACACATTCCCATGATTCCCTTTCCTGCAATGTCCACTTCCGCAGATCCATCCGCGAGCAACGATCAAGCGGTAATGACGAACCGCGCTCCAAACTCATGGCCATTGTTGCTTGCCCCGCGCGCGGTTTCAAATTTGTTCGCCGAACCGCACCTCTTGGGGCAGTCTTGGAGTGCCCTTGAAAGCCTCGAGGTGCCATCTATGAGCCATCTTGGATGAGATCGATCAGAGGACGGGCCGTAGTAAATTAGCGCTGTCCCCCCAGGAAACCGCATGTGGTCAACACTTCAATGAGATTGGTGAATTTGGCCTTCTCGCCGAGGCCCCAAAAAACACCCTCTGACACCTCGCGAATCCCTCCGGCCAAACCCAGGGGGAGATGGAGGGGGAGGGATCAAGCTACCCTCCCAGCTAGCAGGCCGTCTGGCTCGCTCCCACCCGCCCTCCCAACATGTAAGTGTAGTACCCGGATGTCAGCAAATCGCTGAGGAGCCCCACGCGTGCCATGAGCGCCACACAGGTGCGGCTGCCGGCGCGCGGGCAGGCGTTACTCCTTCTCGGTGAACTGCGCTTCGCTGGGGGCAGCGCGGCGGACTTTGCTTGCCTCGCTGCGCAGCGGCGCGCGCAGCTCCCCAAGGCGCGGGACTGATCGGCGCCTTCCCGGGCGCCCGCGGATGTGCGGGGCGCCTGCTGTCCGCTCGTCAAAGGCGCCACAGGTTCCAGGTGCGCCAGGCAACCTGAAGGCCCAAACGCGCCTGAAGCGGCAAATGCTCCACGTGCGCCACCTGTGCCGCGTGCCTCAGCCGCGCCAGGTGCGCCAGCTTCGGGGAACCAGCAGGAACCCCTGGTGCCATTGGCCCTGGCCCCAAGGAGTTCAAGATTTCAAATCCCCCTGGAGCGACGGGCCCAGCATTCTGTGAGAAGGGGGCTCTGCCAGGCAGCGCGAAGCACCGGCACCGATGGACAAATCGTGACACCTCGAGGAGTCGTGAAACAGATGAGAGCTCAAGCGTAAGAGGGCCATGCGCATGCTTTTTTGTCAGGCATGGTTGGCCTGCGCGCAGCAAGCAACATGCCTGCACCCCCGCCGTCCCTGTCGAGAACCAAGGCAAAGTAGTCGCGGGGCGCCCGCGCATGCGCCAGATTTGGAGGCACAGTGTTTTTTGCAGCGTTTCTGTTGCAAGGGATGGGGCAGGGGGACTCATTGGTCTGGGTTGGCTGCCAGTCGCCTGCGGGAGGGGGTGTTTGTTAATAGAGAGCAGTGATCAAAACACCCTCCCCGCCCGTGAGCTGTTTCGCTCACTCCCACACGCCCTCGCACCCGAGCCTCAGCATGTTCAGATATCGTTTTATGGATGGGCAGCTACTGGGATCCCAACCGGTACCCACGTGCGCGACGCTTGTGCGAGGTACGCCACGCGTGCCAGGCGCGCCACGCGCTAGGTGCGCCAGGCAACCCTGGGGCCCAACCGTGCCAGGCACGCCTGGTACGCCAGATGCCCCACGTGCTCCACGTGCGCCATGCGTGCCCCCGTGCGTGCCGTATGCTCCAACTGCGCTACGTTCGGGACGCGCGCAGGGTATGCCAGGTGCTGCGTGCACGTGACAGCACACATCGGGAAACATGTCGGCACCCTTGTCCTTGTCAAAAACCATCGGTGGGGAGGCCGTCATGGTGTCCGGTGTGCTTGCGCACAGCAGGCAACGTGCCAGCATCCCCGCCGCCCTTGTCAGCAACCAATGGACGCTGATCGCGGGGTGGACGCGCAGTGTCCAGATTTAGCCGCGACGTGCACGTTGTATGACCGTTTCCAAATGGATGGTGGCCTTGCGCGCAACATGCAATATGAGCTCCACCCCCGCCGTCCTTGTCAATAAACAATACAACGTGTTCGCGGGGTCTACGAGCATGACCCAAGATTGTGGCCCGTCTATTTTGTATTGTTTTTGACATGGGTGGTGGGGGAGGGTGTTGGCATTGGTCTTGGTCGGCTGCTGGTCGCCAGGAGGAGTGCGTGTTTATGCATAGGGAACAATGATACACCCGTCCCCGAAAAGGGAAGAGGTAAGATGGAAGAGGAAACGCCCTAAACCACTCACGCCCTAAAAGGCTGGTGGGATTCAGAATCGCCTCATGGGGCCTTATTGGGGCGTTCCTGGGACCCTTTTGAGAGCCCTTCATGAGGCTTTCGTGGGCAATCTTGGAGCCATCTTGAGGCTTCAAGAGACCATCGGAAGCGACAAGGCGAGGTCTCGGAGTACACGTTTCAAACTTGATGTTTTGGAAGGATGTTGGCCTCGCGGGGGGATCCTCAGGAGGCTCCATGGACACCTGGAGCCGACTTGAGGCGGTCGTAACGCCTCTTGGATGCATGTTGGAAGCTAGAGTGAGCCACGTTTGGCGAGATTGTGCGATCTTGAAGGGCCACACTGGGCTATCTGGGGCCATCTTGGGTCATCTTGGACGCGTTGACCGCTCTCGAAAGCTCCCTTCCAGACCCAGGGCAAGGGTGAAGGGGGAGAGGTACACCTCTACAAGGTTGGAATTGGGGTTGGGTTGGTGGGGTCGTGGGCCTCGTAGCGGTGAGTGCGTTACCAAAGAGAACCGCGTTGGCTGCCGTTGTCGCTGACGCGCTCCGTTACCGCTAGATCCGCTAATTATCGGCGAGCACGTGATTCGGATTGCTCGCGGCCCTCGCGGTAGACATTGAGTTGTTGATTTGCTTGGGTGGTGCTTGCAAGCGGCCGCACAGGTTTCTTAGGTTCACGGGCAGGGACTCCTTTCCGTATGGTAGGTTCGCGATGTGATGGCACGGCGGCGTCCCCAGCGAGGTGGAGTGCCGCCGGTGGCTCAGGGTCGGCGGACATCTCGAACGGTCGATCTGCGCCATCGGGTGGCCGCGACCGCTCAAGGCTCAAGGTCAAACGATCCGCGCGGCGCCGGAAGGAACTTGCGCCCACACAGCAAGGAGGGGCAGCTTTCCCAAGGGTGCCCCTCGCATCCCTGCCTCCTCGGCCCATCCGTGGCGACTTCCGCTGGCCAGTCTCGTCCGAAAAGCGCTAGCATGGCCTTCCGAGGCCCTTGCGCGCAGCCTTCCGATGCTCAGGAGGAGATAAAAACGCACAGACACAATGAATCCTCCACTCCCAGGAACATATGGGAAACTATGGGAAGTGGGGGGGGGGGAAGACAGACACCCAGCAAATATGGGAAAATAGGGGGAATCCTTTTTTGTGTGTATTTACTTAATCGCTTCGCTCATTCCGCCGGCCCTCGAGCGCTCTACGGGGCCTCTTTCAAGCATCTGGGGGGCCTCTTTGGGGCCTCCTAGGGGCCTCTTGGGGGCCTCCTGGGGGTCTCTTGTGGCACCTCGGCGGCGTCTTGGGGCCCCCTTTGGGCCTCTTGGGGGGCATCCTTTTTTTTGTGTGTATTTCTTTGCGTGCCCCCAGGGCCCCTTCCGATGCGGGCAACGGCCGTGGCCGCTGCGGCTCGAGAGGCCGCGGCCGCCCCGCGCGCGCCCCGGAGGCGGGGGCTGGCCCGCGCCCGCCGAGCGCCGGGCGCCCATGGCGAGCGCGGGCGGGCCCCCTTACGCGGCGGTGCCCGGCGGCGCCGCGGGCGCCGCGGCCGCGGCGCCCGCGCGGCGCGGCGCGGGCGGGCGGGCGGGGCTGGCGCTGGCGGCCTGCGGGCTGGCGGGGGCCGCCGCGGCGGCCTGCGCGGCGCGCGGAGGTCCCTGCGTGCCAAGCCGCACGGCGGCGGGCAAGGTTTTTGTCCTCCTCCTCCTCCTCCTCCTCCTCCTCCTCCTCCTCCTTGTCTTCCTCCGTTTCCTCCTCCTCCTCCTCCTCCTCCTCCTCCTCCTCATCGCGGCGACGGCGGGCAAGATGTTTACAGTCGGGGCCCTGAAGAAGGAGCCCTTTTCGTTGGGGAGGGGCTCCGCATTCCTGAAGTGTTTCGCAGCTTGCCTCAGGTGTTCCTTGTGTTTTCGATCGGGAGTCGAAGCTTCACTTATGGAAAAAAGGGGGCCTCGTTCCTTATGTTGGGTTGCTTAGGTCAAGGCCCCGACTGGACTTCCCCAGACCTGATCGCGGCGTTCAGAAGTCAGGGCGGCAGGCTTTTTGTTGTTGCCATTTTCGGCCTGGGGGGTCCCCCTCGCTGGGCCTCGGGACCGTCAGACAACGGATCTTGCCGAACAACGGGCCCCGGGGAGAGAGTCGGGACCTCCAGGGACCCCGTCTTGACAAAAGCAGGACGTCGCACGTCTGGGTTCACGTCCAGATCCAGCGCGATTTGGACTTTCTGTGAAGGGGCACCACAAGGCCGAGACGCACTGGATATGGATAGCAGTCTAGAGTCGAGCCTCTACGGGCTAGACTTCTGGCCATGTCCAGTGCGCCTCGGCCTTCTGGGGAAGGGAGCCCGAAACTCAAAGCTGCAGTGGATGTGGGCACATGCCCTGCCCGCACTGCATGCCAGACCACCCGAGCCCAACCCGAAGCTCCTGGAGCGCCCCTGTACCGGACATGGACGATCCCAAAGATGACTTCGGGTTAGGTTGGGGCGGCTTGGTTTAAGTCGGGCCTGTCCCCATACAGGGGGATCTTCGACGAAAAATAAAAAATACACCAAACAACATAGTCCAAGAATAGTCTGGGGACTACTTTTGGAGTTTCGCTTGACCTTTCTGGGGCACTTGTTGGGCGTTCTTTTTTGGGGGGGTATTTTTCGTCGAAAATCCCCCTGTATGGGGGAAAGGCCCGACATAAGGCTTGGCAGGTAGTCGGGAGGGTGGCGGCTGGGCGCGATGCGGGGCAGGCCGGGCGCTCCTCTCGGCCTGGTCGGCGTCTCGGGCGGCCGCGGTGTTGGCGACCAGGAGGGCGGTGCTCGTGTGGGGCAGGACGAGAGGGGGGGGATGGGGAGCGGGGGCCCCGATCGGTGTGGTGACCACACCGCGAGGTGAGTCAGTGGGGAGTCGGAGCGTCTCGGGCGTCCGGGGGCCTCCGAGGTCCCCAGAAGCCGTGCGGTGACGGGCCTCGCGGGGAGGTCGCGAACCTGAGGAACAGAGGAACCGAGGAGCAGAGAGCCTCCTCCTCCTCCTCCTCCTCCTCCTCCTCCTCCTCCTCCTCCTCCTCCTCCTCCTCCTCCTCCTCCTCCTCCTCCTCCTCCTCCTCCTCCTCCTCCTCCTCCTCCTCCTCCTCCTCCTCCTCCTCTCGGGTCGGGCGAAAGGGGGGATTGGGAGAGGGGGGGGTACGAACTCTGCTGCAGGCAGCTGGTTTCGGCCCCACCGAGGGGCCCATGACTCGATACACAGCCGCCTCCGGCGCCGGGTAAAACAGGGCTAGGATCGGGATAAATCGCTCCAGAGCGTTCCGCAGCGCTCTCAGAGCGTTCCGGAACGCTCTGGAGCGGCCGCGGCGCCCAATACATCCTCCAAACCCGCCGATTCTCAGAGATTTCGAGTTATCCTGATCCGATGTTGTCCCGATCTTCGCGTCGTTTTACCGGGAGGCGCCGTGGAAATCAGCTACGCGAGCTGATTCTCAGACCCCCCCTTTGCTATCCCCCCCTGTCGCCCGACCCGATCGTGGGCGAAACGGATATGTCCGCCTCCACGGCCTCGAGGGCCAGGCCACTGGGCCGCAGCCCCGCGGAGACGGGGACGCTCTCTCGCGGATGCCCGGGCGGAACGCGTCCGTGCGGCCGCGCATCTGGAGCCTGTTGTTTTTTTGGATTCAGGCAAGTTTACTTGCATGGCGTTCGCCCCCCCCCCCCCCCCCCCCTCGCCCCTCTTCAAGCGAATACTAGCGTGCAAGTGCCTTTCGACTTGCGTGATTTCCGCGCCCCCCACCCCCCTGGCTTGCTTCAGGCTCCATGCAAGTAAACTTGCCAGAGTCTAAACAAAAAAACAGGCTCCTGCGGAATCGTGCCCGGAATCCAGACCGCCAGGGCCTGGGTATGGATGCCGTTGCCGCTCATCAGATGCTGAGGTTTGGGGTGCTTCGACGCAGATCAACTGACGAAGCAACAGCACACACCCATACCCATAGGGCGGTCGGAGAGGGCTATAGGTGCGTGTTGTCGGATGGGGGTCCCCGTTCGAGCGGGAGCGTTCCCCAGGGTCCGACAACCCGCACCCATACCCATAGCCAGTCCTCCTCCCAACGACCCCCCTATGGGTGTGGGTGTGTGTTGTTCGTTCGTCATCAACTGGCTGACATATGAGCTTTCGGACGCACGAATTCCTTGGATCTCCGCTAGACCCCGTGGCGGCGGCTCCGGCGCCTCCCGTGGCGCGCAGCTGGGTGTTGAGCGCGGATCCAAGAAGTCCGCGCAGAGTCCCGACAGCTTATGCTTATGTGGGTGCTCCTCCCTCCAGGAGAAGCCCCGGGCCCTTGCCAAGAAGGACATCCTCAGGCACGACCAGTTCCTGTCCCACGGCTGCCCCTTCTCCACGGCCCCCCTGAGCGAGGCGGAGTGCCGGCAGGTGCAGCCGCTCTTCGGGGGGCACTTGAACGACCCGTTTGTGGTTCGCAACAACGAGGACCCACAGGGTTGCTTCTCGTTCAGGGGGGCGTTCTATTTCAACGATCGCGCGTACGGCGGCGGCTTGCGACAAGGTCGGACCCTGTATTGCAGGAGGATCTTCCGCCAGAGATACGTCAAGCTTACCGACGGGACGTGCTCCAGATACGGTTTCGCCCCGATCGGTGTCAAGGAGCACTGCCGTGCGGCAGCCCTTGAGCTGGGACTCACCAACAGCGAGGTGCAAGCTACCGATGAGGCAAACAGGACCGAGGGCTGCTACTTTCTCCACAATTTCGAGGATGAGACCGCCAGTCTGTGGTTGGGCACGAACCCTCAGAACAAGGGCATCGGAGCGCAGGAGACGGACATGCTCCAAAGACAGCCAATCTGCGTGAAGCAGGACCCGCCTGGCAAGGACGTCAAGGACACTCCAAGCAAGAGCGTCCAGGCACTCTCGGATGCCCCCGAGTCCGACCCGCTTGCCGCGCACGCAGCGTTGCACATCGACCTGCCCGGCCACATCGTCAGCATCGAGGGGCCGACCAATCGGTGTCCGATCGGTACAGAGGCTCTCACCGAGGAGGACTGCAGGGCTCTCCCCGTCTCGCTGCATGGGAAGCTCCACGACCCCTTCCGCATTAGCTCCGCCGACGACCCCAAAGGATGTTTCCTTTTCTGGCAGTGGTACTACTTTAACACGCACGACACTGGCCAAGGGCGCGAAGGCCGCACGATTCTGTGCAAGCGCTTGGACACGTTGTCGTTGCACGCGCTTCGGGAAACTAAAGGAGCACCATTGTCCACAGGCGGGAGCGCATCCGTAGTTTGATGGAATGAAATCTCGCCTTGATTCACAAAGTCATTCGGATCGTTGGCCCTCGGCTGTGTGACGCCTGATGTCCACATCGACTTCGGACAGCATGCGCTTCTGGCCTCCTCGAGCGAGTTTTGCAGCTCGGCGCCGCGCAGCTCCCGCTCTCGGTCGTGCGGTGCGGGAAGAACTCGGAGCGCTTTCGTGCGCCGTGCGTGCCATTCGATCGAGACCCTGTCCCTGGTGCTGCAGTAACTCTGGGTGCCCACCGCTCTTACCTGTCTTCTTGGGGACCTGCCGAAGTTCCCGCCCCCCCCCTCTCGCGGACGGCAGTGAAGCAGGAGGGGAAAAAACACACACACACAATGAATCGCCGATCCCGAGAAAATGCGAAACAAATTGGAAGGGGGCTGGACGACGAAAACCCCAACAGTATGGAAAAAATATGGGGAATAGTTTTATCTGTGTGTCTTTCTCTGTGCGTCCGTCAGTCATCTTTATCTCTGTGTGTATCTGTTTGTGTGTGTATGTATTTGTGTGTGTATCTATCCGTGTGTATTTTTGTTGCGTGTGTAGTTCTCTGTGTGTAGGAATCGTTTTATCTGTGTGTATTTATCTGTGGGGCCCCTTCCGTGGACGCCTCCCGGGCGCTCTCCGTGCGCCGGGTGGGCCTGCCGAGGCCCCGCCCGGGGGGGCCTGCCGGGGCCGCCTCGCGGGCGCCGGCGTGCGCCGGCGGGGCCCGCCGAGTTCTCGCGGGGGCGCCGCCCGACGTCGGAGGCGACGAGAAGGGGCGATCATCAGGAGGGACAAAATCAGAGCCCCGAATCATCAGGGGTAACTCGGGTCAGGGCTAACTCGGGTTCCTTTTCCGGGAATCCAAACCCGAGTTACCCCGGACCCGAGTTACCCCGGATAACTCGGGCGCCCAGAGCCCCGAATCATCAGGGATAACTCGGGTCAGGGCTAACTCGGGTTCCTTTTTCGGGAATCCAAACCCGAGTTATCCCGGAACCGAGTTACCCCGGATAACTCGGGCGTCCAAGAGGCGACGAGAAGGGGCGATCATCAGGAGGGACAAAAACACACAGACACAATTCATCGTCGATTCCCTAGAAAATGTGGGAGAATATGGGCAGTGTGAGGGAAAGCAGAGCCCTAGAAAAGATTGGAAAATATGGGAATATATATTTATTTGTGTGTATTTAGTTGTGTGTCCCAGGGCCCTTTCATATATGTAGCCAGGGGCGCCGATGGTCTATGGTCGAGGGGCGATCAGGGGTGGACAGACCTCCTACCCTGACACGCCGATTGAGGAACTGGCCGTTTGCTGTGCGCGAGAGTGCGCCGCGGCCGTCATGTTTGCGGGTCCAGGTCCGTCGGTTTCGGTCCCGGGCCGTTTTCACTAAGGGGAGGTTTACTAAAGGGAGGTTTGTCCACCGCCGAGGCGAACAGCCCAGTGCATGGGGAGCAATACATGCATCCAGGGGCGCCGATGATCTATGTCTTCGACGAGGCTCCCGGGCGAAGGCGTGTAATGCCCGCCCCTGGGCTACTCGCCCCTATATCGTCGCCGCCGAGGATGCGGTAAAAGGCGGGAGCCACCGAGGGCTGCAGAAGCCCCTCGGGGCCCCTGCAGGGGCCATGTGGTGCCCCGAAAGGGGGCCTCTTGGGCCCGAGAAGCGCGCCCTTTCCCTCCCCCCCAGTCATCGCCCCCCTCCATTATCGCAGGCCCAGGGGTTGAAACCAACGCCAAGATCGGCGGTGCGCCTCCACCGAGGGAAGAAGATCCCGATCTCGGCGATGGTGATGATGTTCTGGCCCACAAGATAGCCGAAATATTACCACCAGCACCGAAATCTGGGATCCTCTTCCTCCTGTGGAGGCAGCCCCCTGTGTTGGGTTTGGCGGGGGACGACCCGTTCCCCTGAGAAGCCCCGGCCCGCTTCCTCCTCCTCGTCGGCCGTCGCTTCCTGCCCCCCTCCTGCATGCTGGCGCAATTCGCTGAACGGCAGCCCCGTTTTGCTGCCCCGCCAGCGCAGTGACTCTGCCTAGCCGCCGACGCAGAAGTGTTGGGGTGTTGGTGCCCCTCTCCGGGCCACCCGCTCAAGCGAAGTCCAATTCGCCCGGTGGGCGCAGCCCGTGCTGAGCTGGGCGGGCCTTGGCCCAGGTTTCGCCGGTGGTCAAGGGCTCCCACGAGGGCGCGAAGTTATTCGCGCTTCGCGCTTCGCGGTCCTCGTTCCTTCTCCCCCTCCTCCTCGTCCTCCTTTTCTCCCTTCTGGGGGGCGGCGCGAGAGCGCGAAGTTATTCGCGCTTCGCGCTTCGCGGAGCGCGAAGCGCGAAGTTGGGAGCCCTTGGTGGTGGGCGCGCGGGCCGTGGGCGCTTCTCGTGGGTGCCGCCCGTGCGCTGGGTGGGGATCTGACGAGGTTCCGCCCGGTGGGCGCTGGTTGTGGGCGCCTCGTGGGCGCCCCGTGTGCTGAGGAGGAGGAGGAAGAGGAGGAGGAGGAGGAGGAGGAGGAGGAGGAGGAGGAAGAGGAACAGGAAGAGGAGGAGGAGGAGGAGGAGGAGGAGGAGGAAGAGAAGAGGAGGAGGAGGAGGAGGAGGAGGAGGAGGAGGAGGAGGAGGAGGAGTCTGCCGAGAGTCCGCCTTGTGACGCCAGCCGCCTCGTGGGACGCACCCTGCGCCGGCCGGGTCCGCCGAGAGTTCGCCTCGCGCCGGCCGCGGGCGCCCCGCGGGCGCCCCGTGGTGCCGGCGGGGTGCGCCGAGGCTTCGCCCGGCGGGCGCGAGCGCTGTGGGGGCGCCCCGTGGTGCCGGCGGGGTCTGCCGAGGTGCCGCCGGGCGGGCGGCCGCCTGTCGTGGGCGCCTCTTGGGCGCCCCGTGCTGGGTAGTCGAAGGCCAGACTGTCAGATTGGATTGGGCCCCAAGGGCCAATCTGGCCTGGCCAAACTGGATGATTTGGGTTATTCGCCAGACTGGATTCGCGTTGGCTCCCTCGCCAGATTGCCCCCGTTTGCCAGATTGGGCTGGCGGCCGCCTGTCGTGGGCGCCTCTTTCGGGCCGGACGAACGGGGGGGATTGGGAAAGGGGGGGTTACAAAATTTGCTGCACGCAGCTGGTGTCGGCCTCACCGAGGGGCCCATTCCTGGATACATAGCCGCCTCCGGCGCCGGGAGGCGCCGGGAAAATCAGCTACGGGAGCTGATTCTCAAACCCCCCCTTTGCTATCCCCCCCTTTCGCCCGACCCGACTCTTGGGCGCCCCGTGCCCGGGCGTGCCGAGGTGTCGCGCGGCCGTGGGCGCCTCGCGTCAGGGAGGGGAAAAACACGCAGACACCATGAGTCGTCGAAGCCCCAGGAGATGTATGGGAAACTATGTGCAGTGGGGGGGGAAGACAGCAGCCCAGGAACATCTGGGACCATAGGGGGAATCCCGTTATGTTTGTGTGCATTTGTTTGTGCGTGTGTCCCAGGGCCCCTTCCTCGTGGGAGCCCCGTGCCCCCCCGCGGGGTCTGCCGGTGTCTGGCGTGCCTCGCCTGGTGGGGGCGAGGTTCGAGGCTCTGGCTCTCGTCGTCGGCGTCGTCGGCGTCGTCGGCGTCGCCGTCGGCGTCGTCGGCGTCATCGGCGTCGGCGTCGGCGTCGTCGTCGTCTTCGTCGTCGTCGTCTTCGTCGCCGTCGTCATCGGCGTCGTCGTCGGCGTCGTCGGCGTCGTCGGCGTCGGCGTCGGCGTCGTCGTCGGTGTTGGCTTCGGCGTCGTCGTCGTGCGGCCGTGGGCGCCCCGCGGGCGCCCCCGGCGCGCGCGGCGGGCCTGCCGCAGCGCTGACGGCCCCCGCGGGCCGCCCGTCGCGGGCGCCCCGCGGGTGCCCGCAGTGCGCGGGGCGGGTCTGCCGAGGTCTGGCCTGGCGGGCGGCCGGGGGCGCCCTGTGGGCGCCCCCTTCTCCTTCCTTTCTCCCTCCTCCTCCTCCTCCTCCCCCCTCCTCCTCCTCCTCCTCCTCCTCCTCCTCCTCTCCTCTCCTCCCTCCCTCCTCCTCCTCCTCCTCCTCCTCCCCCTCCTGTTTTGCGTCAAGTCGGGCCTGTCCCCCTACAGGGGGATTTTCGACGGAAAATAAAACATACCCCCGAAATAGAAAAAACAAAAAGAAAGGAAAAATGAGTCCGAAACTAGTCGGGGGACTATGTTTTGAGTATAGTTTGACCTTTTTGGCGACTTGTTTGGTTTTTTATGTTTCGTCGAAAATCCCCCTGTAGGGGGACAGGCCCGACTTAAGTTTTGCGCTATGATGCGCCAACCTACTTTAGCCTTGGTCACCAGGCAGAGTTCCGAGCGCACAAAAAAAGAATAGTCTGGGGACTATTTTTTGAGTATGTTTGGCCTTTTAAACAAATATTTTAGGGTATTTTTTGTTTGTCATCGAAAATCCCCCTGTAGGGGGACAGGCCCGACTTAAGTTTTGCGCTATGATGCGCCAACCTGCTGCAGCCTTGATCACCAGGCAGAACTCCGAGCGCCCACAAACGTACCCCGAAGCTCGAGGGTTCTCACGTGCCGGGCCCTAGGAGACGCTGTTCTGTCGACACTGTTTCGACACTCTGTCGATACTTGTCCGGGTGCTCGAAATTGTTTCTGGGATATGGCCCTTAAGTAACGGAGGATGACGATTAATAAATGACCGGGGGTCGTGTTCACGCGGCGGCGCCCGGGATGACGATTAGAAAGATCCGACCGCGGGCTGGAAAACTATTTTTTTACGCGTTCTTCGGGGGCGGAAAAGAGGAGGGTGATGACTAGGGGGGGGGGTGGACATCGTGGCGGGGGCCATGATATTTCCCCAGATTTCATGGCGCCCCTTCCTATTTCATTACGTCCCTGGCCCCCCCGCCGGGCCGCGCACATGCCGCCGGTCATGATTTGCACCCCCCCCTCTTGGACACCCCCCTCTTGGCCGCTCCCGAGTTCTCCTCCAGTCAGACAGCTGTGCAGCAATAGCAGGAACCTACTCCAGATTTCGTAATAAAGGGAGGGGGGTCTCATTTCGGGGGGGGGTCTCTTCCAGGCTATCTTGGAGGGCCTGGGGGGGCGGGGACGATGTTTTGGAGGGTTCTCCCACGGGGGAGGTCTGAAATGGCTTGTGGGTCCAGACCCCCTCCCTTTTATTATGAAATCTGGAGTACTGTTTCGATCGTTCTCTCCCACTTTGGTTTCATAAGTCGTCCTCCCGCACTGCGATGGGGGCAGCAGAAGTTTTGCGGCGGGTCCGCGCCGTGCCGACCGGCGGCGGCCCGCCGCCGGCGTTCCACTCTAGGCCTCCTAGGTGGGGTCGGAGCAGATGGGGTCGAAGGAGCGCGCCGCATCGCCGATGCATCGCCGATGCGGCTCGATGTGGAGCCCGATTTGCTTCGCGTCGACGTCGCCGATTCATCGCTGACGTCGACGATGCATCGCTGGTGCATCGCCGATGCATCGCCGATGCATCGCCGATGTATCGTCGATGCGGCGCCATCCTCCGACCCCACCTACTCCGACCCCATCTAGGAGGCCTCTATCCACGTCGAGCGCCGCCGCGGGCGACCCAGAGGCGGTCGATGATGGACGGTCTGAGGTTTCCCGGGGGCGGAAAGGAGGGGGGTGATGACTAGGGGGGGGTGGATATCGTGGCGTGGGCCATGACGTTTTCTCAGATTTCATGGCGCCCCTTCTTATTTCATGACGTTCCTGGCCCCCCCGCTGGGCCGCGCTCATGCCGCCGGTCATGATTTGCACCCCCCCCTCTTGGACACCCCCCTCTTGGCCGCTCCCGAGTTTCGGAAACGGCCGATGGTTCAGTGTTGAAGGCTCCCCGCGGTGTTAGAAACCATCGCCGAAGTCGGGACAACACGAACCTGCCGTTTTCAGATTGCATTAAGTGGCCTGCGCAGCCTTGCTTACGCCACATAGCTCAAGTGGCATACATTGCACAGCCGACCTTGAAACACGCACACAAACATCGATTCTACCACGCTGTTTGCACCACCGTGGTTGACCACACGGCTTCTACCATACAGTCTGCACTGCATCACTTGCAGCGCGCAGAGTGCTTCACGAAGCCTGCGCTACACGGACTGCACCGCACAGTTAGCTGCCGCATCCGGAGTCCAATGACTCCCTCCTCGGGGCCCATGCTGGCGAACATGGTATTCCTCAGCCACAGGCGAACTGCTGCAAGCGCAGAATTCGAGGCCGGCAGCGCACAGCGGATCTGTACTGCTCAGCGCGGGCAGCTCCAGGACGGTGATCGGGGCAAAGTCCCCGCAAACTCCGCGCGTGCATCCCATATCTCTTTGCATGTGAGTTTGCCTCTCCTCTTCTGGCTGGCACACTTTACTCCAAGTCGTTCTAGGCCATTTGGGACGCGTCGGTGAGCTGCTGTGACCAAATCATAATTCAATTCGGATGCATGCGCGCGAATGTGTAAAACAAGTTTACGTAGATGTGCCATAGCACCTTACGTGTAGTTTTCAATGCAGGTTTTGGTGCTGAGCGATACCATTCAGCTTCGGTCGTGCCGTTGACTGCCCAACATGACGTGCCACTGTCCGTCGCCCATAGTTTGGACGCCGAGAGAGGAAATGTTCAACGACCCCATTCTCTTTAGCTCTGGCTCTTCCCGCATTCCTTATGAGAGCAAGCCTTCGGAACGAACCACAATGAACGAGCCTGTCTGCGCGGTGCGTGCCGAATCCGTAATCGGCCTCGCGCTGGCGCGAGATGATTTAGCTGATTGGGCTTGATTTTGGAACGCTATTTGAAAATCGGAGGCTGGGGGGTTGGAACTGAAGTGAACCCAGCGGGGAAATCGGTTTCGGTTTCGGTTCGTGTCGTGCGCGCGGGCGAGGCGAAGCTACACGAGTTCCATCCTTAGTAGAGGCCCTCTTTTGCCAAAAGGGCTGCCCCCTCGAGCGCCGGGCGTGCCCCCCGGCTGTCCCAGCGGTTGTCCGAGCGGTTGTCCCGATGGTTGTGGTTGGCCCGATGGTTGTCCCGATGGTTGTCCCGATTGTTGTCCCGATGGTCGTCCCGATGGTTGTCCCGATGCTTAATCGATCGATAGATGGATAAACTTTCATTGTGACGTACCCAACCCTTTCTATACATGTGGCGGTTATACTCAGGACCACTCCATGCTGACTGGCATTCTGAAGGACCCGCAGTGCGCAGAAAGAGCAAACAACAATGCTTTCAGAAGAGCGCAGCAAGAAGTCCCGTGGTGATCTGCGTATGACGTACTTCCGCTGGGCCTCCCAGGAGCCCACGAAAGTGGCGACAATTGCGCAGATCGCAAGCCCCGCAGGGGTACCGAGGTGATCCGCGTGGGCCTCCCAGGAGCCCACGAAAGTGGCGACAATTGCGCAGATTGCAAGCCCCCCAGGGGCGGCGAGGTCCCGTGGTGATCCGCGTATGACGTACCTCCGCTGGGCCTCCCAGGAGCCCACGAAAGTGGCGACAATTGCGCAGATCGCAAGCCCCCCAGGGGCGGCGAGGTCCCGTGGTGATACGCGTATGACGTACCTCCGCTGGGCCTCCCAGGAGCCCACGAAAGTGGCGAAAGTTGCGCAGATCGCAGCCCCCCAGGGGCGGCGAGGTCCCGTGGTGATCCGTGTATGACGTACCTCCGCTGAGCCTCCCAGAAGCCCACGAAAATGGCGACAGTTGCGCAGACCGCAAGCCCCCCAGGGGCGGCGAGGTACCGGGGTAATCCGCGTGGGACCCACTTCCGCTGGGCCTCCCAGGAGCCCACGAAAGTGGCGACAATTGCGCAGATCGCAAGCCCCCCAGGGGGCGGCGAGGTACCGAGGTGACCCGCGTGGGACCCACCTCCGCTGGGCCTTCCAGGAGCCCACGAAAGTGGCGACAATTGCGCAGATCGCAAGCCCCCCAGGGGGCGGCAAGGTACCGAGGTGATCCGCGTGGGACCCACCTCCGCTGGGCCTCCCAGGAGCCCATGAAATTGACGACAGTTGCACAGATCGCAAGCCCCCCAGGGGGCGGCAAGGTACCGAGGTGATCCGCGTGGGACCCACCACCTCCGCTGGGCCTCCCAGGAGCCTACGCAAGTGGCGAAAGTTGCGCAGATCGCAGCCCCCCAAGGGGCGGGGCGGCGAGGTACCGAGGTGATCCGCGTGGGACCCACCTCCGCTGAGCCTCCCAGGAGCCCACGAAAGTGGCGACAGTTGTGCAGATCGCAAGCCCCCCAGGGGGCGGCGAGTTACCGAGGTGATCCGCGTGGGACCCACCTCCGCTGGGCCTCCCAGGAGCCCACGAAAGTGGCGACAGTTGCGCAGATCGCAGCCCGACGGCACGAGGGAATAGGAGAGGGCAACACAGGAAACAGGAGAGAAGGAGGAGGGGCGGAGAGGGGAGGAGAAGGAAGGAAGGACGCACGGGGCGACCACATTGCTCTATTCAAAACGAGTACCCAACACATGAGGGTTGGGAACAACGATAGAGAGATAGATGTTGCGAAATGTTGTCACGATGGTTGTGACGAGGGTTGTACCGATGGTTGGTAGATCGACAGGTTTACGGATGATATATATATATATATATATACACATACATATTGACATGTATATAGTTACCGGGACATACATATAGCTAAACAAATATAAGCTGTATTGGGCCATACTTATATATGTATATGCTGGTATATCGACGTATGGATACATACATATATATGTACATACATATATATATGTATGTACACGGATCGAACGATATATATATAGAGGAACATATAATTTTACATGCACTGATACATGCAGTGATATATCTATAGAGAGAGAGAGAGAGAGAGACTTATAGGTGTTTAGATAAGGCGTTCGAGGGTATACCTATATTTATGTGTATTGGTTGATCGATTTGTAGACTGCTATGCTGATATATTGACAGACATCTAGTTTTGTATATAGTGAAATATCGTGTTGTCCTATATATATAACTAGACAGATAGGTCGATCGGTAGATGGGCAGATGTGCGCGACTATAAAACAGTCAAGGAAACCACCGCAGAACCCAGAGCCATCGCAAATCGACCGCCTTCCCTTTCCCCCCCCGACCTCCTTATCACCCGTAAGGTGGTCCGTTCGATATTTGACAGAATAATTGTTGACGCGAGCTGGGTTGACTTCTGATCGCTGATGCATGGGGTGGTAGCGTCGTGGCCTGGCCTGGCTCAAAGGGATCCTTCAGAGCTGTGCTACGAAAGCGCGTGTCTGCTGTGAAGCCTTGTTGTTCAAGGTGCCCAGAGACTGGGGAGAACCAGGAGGGGGAAGTAGGTTGAGCTTGTCCGGATGGCATCTTTTTATGAAGGGACGAAGTGTCTCAGATTCAGAGGTGCTTAATTGCGCTCGCAGAAGGCAGCCTCGTCCGTTAAGATCACATGATGGAGACACCACCTTTGGATGATGTCGACCGGTTTTCCGCAACGTGTCTGGTGCGTGATATGTGGCGCTTGCTACCTCCTCCATGAACGACAAGACGTGGCACACGCAACGACGGACAATGTTCCTCACCAACAAGAAGTTCCGTAGTCGTTTGGGCTGAGGCTATTTTGGATCAAGCACGGTGGTGGAGCTTGGTTCCACTTCGTTACGGCCTGCACGGCAGCTACGAGATTCTGGAGGCCACGGCTTCATCCACCTGGTCGTTGTTGGGCCCGAAAGCTTGGCCGCAGCGGTGGTATTTCTCTTCATCTGTGTTCTCTTCTTCCGCCTCACTAGCACCTTGCCATGGCCCTGGCTGGCAGCCTGCGCCGACTGGCCTCGGGTGCCGTGCGGCGCCCGCGCCAGTGCGGGCTGATGACGGCGGCGCAGGCGGAATTCTTCGAGCGGAGCGGCTACGTAAAGGTCCCAGGCGCCCTGACGAAGAGCGACGTGGGCGAGCTCAGGAGGTGGGTGGACGAGATCGCGTCGTGGCCCGAGGTGGAGGATGCCTGGGTCCACCATTTCGAGCGCGGCAGGGCGGGGTCGAACCAGCTTGTCCTCTCGCGTACGGAGAACTTCTTCCCGTTCCATGCCGGCATGGCGAGGTTCCTGAGCAGCGGAGTCCCTGCGCAGCTGGCAGGCGACGCGCTCCGGGAGGAGGCGTCTTTGTACAAGGAGAAGATCAACTACAAGGTCCCAGGAGGTGGCGGTTACACCGCCCACCAAGACGCTCCAGCATATGCTGAGTCAGATTGTCACGTCACTTGCCTTGTCACGCTGGACGAGGCTGGCCTCGACAACGGCTGCCTGGAGTTTTCAGCTTTCCCGTGGCAGCGCAAAGAGCTCATCGGGCTCACAAAGGAAGGCGTGATCTCCGACGATGTTGCCGCGAGCCTGGACTTTGAGGCGGTGCCCACTGAGCCGGGGGACGCTTTGGTGTTCTCCAGCTACGTGCCCCACAGGTCCGCGGCTAACACCAGCAGTAAGGCTCGAAACCTGTTGTACCTCACGTACAACAGGAAGAGCGCTGGGGATCTCCGGAGCCAGTACTACCACAACAGACGCGCCACCATGCATGCGGGCCGCGTGTCGACAATCGGGCACTTCCAGGGTTCCGTTGCCGAGGACGACGACCTGGCGCTCGCCCCGCGCACTCGGGCAAGCACCCCTTCAAAGGCGCGGGAGGAGATCATCGCGAAGATCGCCAAGCTCTTCGAAGACCGCGGCGGCAGCCGCTACGACAGCTTCAGCACCCAGTCGAGAAACAACAGATGAAACGAATTTCGGAGGTCCGCGCGGATTTCGTGGATCGGCGTTGGACCCCCTCCCTGGCGCGCGCAGTGCCCCTGTGGCGGCGTCGGAGGCGACGCCGGGGGGACTGCAGCGCCGATCCAAGAAATCCGCGTGGACCTCCAGACGTTTGCTGCGTGATGTCATTCTGTGTTCCTCGAACCCAGAGCGAGCATGCCCGCATGACGGCCTTGATGGCCATGCGGAGCGGAGCACTGCCACCAGCCGTGGTCGCGGCGTTCCTGCACGACATCGGCCACCTGCTGCTCGACGAGCACGCTGGGCGCGATGACTTCCTCCTGACCGACAAGCGCCACGAGGAGGTGGGCTACAGGTCAGAGGAGGAATAGGTACCGATACCGCTACCCTTGCCTCGTTTTCGCCTTTTGGGCCCCCTGGGAGGCCCTTGTCGCCACCGCTGGACTCGCCTCCAAATTATGGTCGTAGAGGGCCTGGGAATAGGGGTATCGGGCTGCAGGTTCCTTTGCCGCAGTGGCTTCCCTGCAGAGGTCGAGGAGCAACAACCATGGCATAAACGTAAACTTTCGGAGGTGCGCTCAGATACTCGGGTCGGCGCAGCACCCTCCCGGCGGCGCCCGTGGCGCCGCCCCTGGCGCGCTCCGCGCGCCAGGCAGGGGGTCCAGCGCCGATCCAAGGACTCCGCGCGGATCTCCGAGAAGTGAGGATGCTCGTGTAGTTGTTTGCTCCTCTCCGAGGTGACGGAGCTCGTCCGCCTCCACGTCGAGGCCAAGCGCTACCTCTGCGCGGCGGAGCCGAGCTACTACGCGGGCCTCTCGAGCGCCTCGCAGCAGTCCCTGGCCCTCCAGGGCGGGCCCCTGTCGCCCGAGGGCGTGGCCCGCTGGACCGCCGCGAGCCCGCACGCCGCCGCCGCCGGGGAGCTGCGGCGCTGGGAGGACGCCGGGAAGCGGCTGTGGGCGGAGGGCGCCGTGGCGGCGGGGGAGCTGCCAGCGGTAGAGGCGCTGCTGGAGGCCACGCGGAGCGTCCTGCTGAGGCAGGGGGCCGCGTGAGCCTCTCCGCAGTCGGAGGCCTGGAGGGCTGGGCGCCGGCACCCAGGTGCCGGCGAGTGCCTTCATCGATGGGCGGCGTGATCCTGATCTCGGTGAGGTGTGGTGATGTTCGGACATCTTGGGTGGCCGAGAGATTATCGCCAGCACCAGAATTCAGGGTCATATTTCCCCCCGGTGGAGGCCCCCCCTGTGTTGCTGCCGGTGTTGGGATTAATCTCTACTCGTCCAACAGAATTGTTAAATCCGCGGAGCCGCTTTTTCCCTGAGGTCTTTTTTGTTCAGAACCTCATCTTGGGCGAGCTCCTGCGGAATCGGCGGTTCCGGTAGGGTCTGAGGAGGCCAACCGTTTACATGACACGGAGGGCACCAAGGGCCGCGCGACCGTGACGGAGCGCTCCCCTTGGCGAGGTCTCCGCTCGGCAGTGGTTGGCAGGGCGCGGAGTTCGGCGAGCCGATGGGGCGGGGGAAGGCCCTGGAGACGACGAGGATTCGTGGGGTGGCGGGGGCGGTGGAGGAGGAGAACAGGTGGCAGTTAGTCCCAGAAAGGCTGAGCGCGTTCCGCGGTTCCCCAAGAGAACAGAGCGCCATTGTCGGTGTCAGCCGCCGGATGTTTGCGTGCGCCAGGGCGTAGACATGTCCGTTGTCTGTTTGTTGCCAGGGCGGTGAGCAGATGCTGACGTACGATATGTAAATAGTTTTGACAATCGATCGTTCATTCTGCAATGGCTCACAGTGTGTACAGTCAGCGGGGAGCGGTGCCCCAGATCATGTAGGGCGTTGTGACGCTTCGCGACGGACTTCGTTGCTGGGGCGCCCGTGAGCCTTATGTCAACGCCCCGACTGTGCCCGCGACCCCCCCCCTGCAGATCCTACACGTCAAAACGCTATCGAATCTTCGCTCTTGTTCCTAAGTTCGGGTCGGACGAAAGGGGGGGATTGGGAAAGGGGGGGTACGACATGTGCTGCATGCAGCTGATCTCGGCCTCACCGAGGGGCCCATTCCTCAGTACATAGCCGCCTCTGGCGTCGGGAGGCGCCGGGAACATCAGCTACTTCAGATTTCGTAATAAAGGGAGGGGGGTCTCATTTCGGGAGGGGTCTCTTCCAGGCTATCTTGGAGGGCCTGGGGGGGTCTGGGGACGATGTTTTGGAGGGTTCTCCCACGGGGGGGGGGTCTGAGATGGCCTGTCTTGGAGGGTCCAGACCCCCTCCCTTTTATTACGAAATCTGGAGTGCGTGAGCTGATTCTCAAATCCCCCCTTTGCTATCCCCCCTTTCGCCCGACCCGATGGTCTCGGGCGCACTTGGTGTCAGGCCTGCGGAGGTGTTGCCGCCCGGGCTCATGCTGGCAATCATCCATTCTTTTCCCAGTCACTGCCGCTCAAGAGGGCCTTGAGTTACGTACTCCAGATTTCGTAATAAAAGGGAGGGGGTCTGGACCCTCCCAGACGAGAAGTTTTAGACCCTCCCAGACCATCCATGAAAGGGCGGCCCTTTGCCCAGACCCCCCCGAACCCTCCAAGACAGCTCAAATCAGACCCCCCCCAAATGTGACCCCCCCGACTTTATTATGGAATCCGGAGTACGTTATCGAAGACGCCTGCGACGAACCACCGCCGCCCCCTGCCCCCTGCAAACGCCTGGAACCGAGCCCCATGCCACGAACAGCAGGCGCCTCCTCCCCCCATGTCCTCTGCCTTCTGTCCCCTGCCCCTGCCTTGGGCCGAAGTCTTGCCAAGCTATTGGCCTGTGTATTTCCTCAGCCGTTGTGGGGACTCTTGGAGGAACACTTGTGTGAGATGACGAGGAGAGGCCTCTTGGGAGGTCCTGGGGCCTCCTGGTGGCTTCCTGGGGGCCTGTGGGGGCTTCTCAGCTGCATCCTGGGAGACTCTTGGGGGCCTCTGCGGGCCTCTGTGGGAGCTCTTCGCCTTCGCCGGGCGGTCTTGGACGCTGTTTGAGGGCCCTCTTGGAGGTCCACGGGCCATCTTGGAGCCGTCTTAGGGGCCGCTCAGAGCGCCTCGCGGCCCTGTCGCCCCGGCTGGTGGCCCTCTCGGGGAGTTCTTGGAGCGTTTGGGACTCACCTTGGAGGCCTCTTGGAGCGTGTTCGGTTGCCGTCGGAAGCCCAAAAAGGCGAGACCGCAGACGCAGTGCAGACAGATGCGGGAAGTTGATGATTGGGGCCGCCTGGAGGGCCTCTGGGGGCCATCTTGGGCCGTCTCGGGGGCCTCCCTGAGCCGTTATGAGGTACTCCAGATTTCGTAATAAAAGGGAGGGGGTCTGGACCCTCCAAGACAAGCCATCTCAGACCCCCCCCGTGGGAGAACCCTCCAAAACATCGTCCCCAGACCCTCCAGGCCCTCCAAGATAGCCTGGGAGAGACCCCCCCCCCGAAATGAGACCCCCCTCCCTTTTGTTACGAAATCTGGAGTAGTCTTGGACAGTCTTTTGGCCATCGTGTGGTCATCTTAGGCCGTCTCTGAGGCATCGTGGGGGTCCTCTCGGCCACTCTCGGGGCCCCCTCGGCCGCCTTATGGAGGCACCACGGTACCATGGATTTGTTGTGTTCGCCCGAGGTCGCCGGGGGTGGCCAAGCGGAGGCGCCGAGTCCACGCTGGGCATTTTTTGGGAAGTGCCAAGCGTGCTCAAACATCTGGCACGCCGAGTACGGCAGGTTCGCGTCGTGTCGACCAGCGGCGACCCCGCCAGCGGCGTTCAAGGTTGAACGCCGCCGGCGACCCAGAATCGATCGATGTTGAACGATCGGACGTTGCGGCAGCGGCCGATCGTTCAAGGTTGAACGATCCAGCGCGGTGTCAGGAACCAACGCCAGGGTCGACACGGCACGGACCTGCAGTACCCCGTTGACCAGTTACCTCATGATCTTTTCTGGTGTTTGTGGTGACAGTTGGGGGGGGCTCTTGGGCGCATTTTGGGGGTCTTGGTAGCAATATTTTTGGGACCGTTCCAACGGCCCCTTCGTTGTCCCCCTCGTGGCCCTCGCTTGAGCCCTTTCAGAGGACTCTTGGGCTTTCTTGGAGGGCCACCTGGGTAACATTTGGGCCTCTTGGGCCGACTTGGGGCTGTCTTTGGGCCGTCTGAGGTCGTATTGGAGCGATGTTGGAGGCCTCTTGGATTGTCTTGGAGCGTCGGAAGCCTGAAAAGACGAAAACGCGAAATTCTCACAATAACGCGTGGAACATTTACGAGTTGGGCATATTGGCTCCCTTCGGGGTTCCTCTTGGGGCACTCTTGACCGTCTTCGGGCTTCTTAGGCCGTCTTGAAGCCATGTTGACCCCTCGTAGGGCTCTCCGACACCAGCTCAGAGTCCTCATGGGCCGTCTTGGGGCTCTCTTGGGACCGTCTTAGTCCATCTTGTTGGGGCCCACCGACACCCAGAGAAGTCATGCGGCACACCCCAGAAGCCACGCGGAACACCCCAACCGGCAATTGGGATTTGTTCCCTTTCTGGGATGACCTCGTGGGGTGCTGATGCGATAGCGGGGTTATGATTGGATGCGAATGTGTTGAAATTTGGCCGGCCTGGCGTATGAGTGGGTTGCAAGTGCCTCAGGTGGCCTGGGGGTGTTGGCTGCTGGCTTGGGCTACCTGGGCTCCGCTCCGAGAGAGTTTCCAAGAGGTTCCAACGAGGCAAAACTGATTGATCACGTTTTGTCTTGGCGGCGTCCAAGGCGCTCCAGGGCCCCAGAGATCCTTACTAGGACGGCCGGGAGGGGCCCCGCGAGAGCCCCCGGCGGGCTCCCAGGCGGCCCAAGAGGGGCTCAACACAGTCACAAGAGGGTCCCAGGACAACCCATGTCACTACCCACCAAAACACCCCAACCCAACCCGCAGGCTCAGATTTACCCTCGATTTCCAGTGGGGGGGGGGTCGGGAAACATCGAAAAAACACATGTGGAACCCTTACCCCCCCCAACCCGAAATTCGGGTCTTCGGGTTGGGTTGGGGTGGTCTGGTAGGTAGTCACCATGAGGCCGTCAAGTTGGCTCCAGGACGGCCCCAAGAGACTCCCGACACGGCCTCGAAGGGCCCCTATGCGGCCCAAGAGGGTTCCAGGTCAGTTCAAGAGGGACCCAAGACGGTCTAGGAGTATCTTCAGGAGTTTCATCCATATTCCTTCGTATTTGATCCCTTTCAAGAGGCCATTGCAGCGCGCCAATAGGACCTCCATATCGTCAAGTCTAGTTCACACCCTTCGGTCTTCATCATTCGTTCGACGAATTTGGCGATATTCGGTTCTTCGGCTGAAGCAGCTACACGGCGTCCTTGGGAGAGGTCGTAGATTATCCGCAAAAAGTCTCGAGACGACATTGCGACTCCACTGTGACCTCGTGTGTATGGCATCGTTACACGGCCCAATTTCCGCGCCATGCATTGGTGCCCTAGCTGATTAGCTACATAACGAGAACTTGCGCCCGGTCGAAGCGCACGCGACGGTCCCAGTTCAGATGGTAGTGTGATGCCCACTTACGTAAGGATGACACTCCCGGTAGGTTGCATTCAGAATCTGCGCTGGTGTATCATAGGTCGAGAATTGGCAATTGGCCTTCTCTCATTGAACACGCTCAATCCAGTTTCATCCCGCTTTATCCAGCTGACTGTCATTTAATCCAGCCTATTCCTCGTCTCAATCACGCCAAATCCGATCCAATGGCCTCTAAATCGGGCTTGATGGTCCTTCATCGTTTGGACGAAGACCTCCCCCAGACGTTGCATCCTAGACTACGTTGGCACAGTTGACTTCAGGGCGCAATTTCCACTGTCCTACCAATCCTCCGTCCCAGATGTCCGACGTAGTGATTATTCGAGGGGGGAGGGGGGGGTACAAAATGTTCCCACCCATAATTAGGCCTGGACCCAATCCGACTGGTTCTTCATCCTGAGTCGTGGTTTGACGGTCCTGTGGCCCAGTGAGGGCCTGTGGAGGCCGGCAGATGCCCAAATTTCCGAGGGGAGCTGGTCCGTCACGGGGTCACATTGG